CCCTGTGGTGATCTGGTATTTTGGCACAAACCCTTAATGTATTATAAATATTTGCAAAAAAATCCAGCTGCTTCACAGCAAGTGATACCTGAAAATCTCCTGATCAGGGATCTTTTAAAGAAAATTAAATGCCTGGGGGAAAAAAAAAATCATAGGCTATGTCTGCTGGCAGGGGGGTCCTGTTGGGAAAAGCTGTGTGTGTTCTTACAGTCAACATTTATCACCTGATACAGAGGACTTGTTTATGCCACTGATTTCAGAATAAGCAACTTTTATAATGGACTCAACAGCACCACAGACTATTGAAATGGAGTGCCACGTTTAGCTGAGCTATGTGAGAATATATATTTAAGCTCATGCTTGGAGAAGTTCATTGTCAGTGTAAATGTTGCAGATAAATGGGTGATGTCACACTTTACAGAAAGTTCTTGTGCTAAGAGAGCTGAAGACTGGGCTGGGGTTGCACAGGGAGCCTGCATGAGTCTGGGGTCATTCTCAGTAAAATTAAACTTTCTTGTGGACTGTTAGTGGGATAGCAAATAGTTTTTTGTCCTCAAACTTAGGGCTTGGAGCTCTCTTTGCAGTCACCTCCCTGGTGAAAAACAGTGAACCTTGTTCCGTGTCAGTGGTCTTGTGTAAGCAGCTGTCCTTCCAGCTGCTGGCTTGTGGTGGGTTTTTTTGGGCTCACTCCTTTGGTGGATGAGGATGTGACTTTCAGGTATTCAAAAGTGAGGTGGAATTTCTCTTTTGTCCTGCTGGATTTTTATCAAGAGTCCCGGTAATTCAAGAAGGCCATCGTGTACTCTCTGAAGGTGAGACTGCTGCTATCCAGTAATTCTAGAGCCTGAGGCCTTATCTGGAAGGGTTATTAGTTGGCTACTTGCACACAAATGTTTGAGCTCTCCTTGTCAGATTAGAAGTCAAAACTAAAAACATCTTACCTTTAAATACACAACCAGTGCTCCAGGACTGTATGAATCTTCACAGCAGTCCAGTATCCTCCCAGTTTCCTTGCAGCTGTTTTCACTGTGGAGTAAAGGTGCTGAAAGTGGTCAAAACAATATAAAATAACTTCATCAAAGTTTGGCTTGTACCTTGAATTTGTGCATAGGAAAAGATTCATCTCTTTGGTACCTGCTAAAGTAAAAATGAGTTCTGTGCTGTCAGTGAGGCTGCATTCCCTCATTAGAGACCATCTGGTAATGTGACCTGACTCTAAAAATCCCAATTGTTCCGACTGACCAGCCTCCAACCTGGAACTGGGGTAAATTTAGATTTTGCACATCACAGTCCCTCTGTTACAGCAGGGCGTGGCAGCATGTTTGGAAAGTGAGAGATGAGCATGACCTGGGTGCTTTTAAGCTCAGGGTTTACTCCTGAGGCCAGTCTAGAGGCAGCTGCTGTGGATGTGTTTGGGGAGGGACAGATGTGGTAAGTGATTATACAGTTAATGATGCAGCACTTGAAAATGGAGGCAAGTGCTGTGGGGTGTTGAAGTTTTGTTGCATATTTACTTCCCTCCTTCAAGATGTCCTCAAATTCTTGAAATTTATTTAAATTAGTTTCTATTCCAGTCTCTTCTGACCTTTGACAAAATTTACATTGCATTCAAATTAAACAGGGGAATGTTTTCCCAAAATAATCTTTCTAATTGTAATCTCTTATTTGAAATCTGCAGCCAGTATGTTAAATATAATGAACATTTATTGATAGAAGTGATTTCCTCTCATTTGTGTGGGTGTATATATAGTCACATCACTGTTTCAATCACTGGCTGCCTAACTGGTTCCTAGAAAATACAGGGGAATTTCCTCCCATGACTCATCTTGGAAGTAGCAGATGCTACATGCTCTCAAGCTGTGTATGGTAGTTCTGGAGTCTCAATAAATATAATTGAGTGTTGGGGACTCAAAAATATATTGGATTACTTTAATGATTACACACTGCTGCTATTTATCCCTTTCTAATGAGAACACTTAAGCCAAATCTTTATAAAGGTCCTGATGCTTTCTTCCCTTTCTGTCTTTTAGCACTACTGTGAAAATGTCATTCCACTTTGAAATGTCATTTTTTACCCTGTTGTCACCAGGGAGTGACTCCAGTTTTAGTACTTTAAGGGTCTGAGAGACCTTCCCCCTCTTTATTTTCTTTTTTTTGTTTGTTTGTTTGGGGTTTTTTGTTTGTTTTGGTTTGGTTTTTGTTGTTGTTGTTGTTGTTTTTAACTCTTTAAAGTGACTCCTGAGCCACTCACAAGCAGTTCCAGTCCCTTATCAGCAGCAGATCGTGTCGCTGCTGGGTCTGTGCTGCTGGGGGGTTTCTGGGAAGCTGCTGATCCCAGATGCAGAAGTGAGTCTGTGAGGGTTGTGCCACGGCCAGCAGAGTCACAGGGGCCTCTGAAGGGTGTGTGTCATGGTGGAGGTTCACATTTGGTGGGGTCACATTGGGTGCAGCAGCACGAGGAGGATGGGCTTAAAGATGTGATGGAACCATACCCTGCTGGGATGTCCACCTGTAGCTGGGGATTTGAGACAAGGAGCTGCCTGGGCTGGAGATGATGCCTGGCCTGGAACACAGCTCTGTGCTGCCACAGAAGAGGCAGGAGGAGGAGAGGACAGGGACAGTGTGGAGGGATATCAAAGGGAGTGGCTCTCCTGCAAGCTGAACGTGCAAGATACCCAGCTTTGGCTTGCAGAGTCCAGGAATCAATTCTCATTTCAGCATTATCCAAATAAACCCAACCTACTGCTTCAGCAGCTGATGGGCCTCTTGCTGCCACTGTGGAGGTCTGGATTCCCACACAGGGATGGATCTTCCCTGGAGGCACACAGGGAAGCCTCAGAGTGTGAGTGGAGTGCTGTCGTGTCCAGATCCACTTCAAATCCAAGAGAGCCATAAGGCTGGCCCTGTTCCACAGTTAAGTGAGGGCTGGCTTTGCTGAGGGTAAAATTTAAAGCTTTGGAAGCAGCAAAATTCCAGGCTGTTGGTGTGCAGGGTTCTGGGGTGCCCTTACCCAGCCCCTTTGTGCAGAAGCTTTAAGACCTGGAGACACCTCATGCTTGGGGAATATTCCCTGAATTTGCTCCTTCAGTTGTCCAGGACACATGGTATTTGTTTTCCTGATGTATGTTTAATCTGGGGCTTGGCAGGTTGGGAAAGTCACTCATCCTGGTGTCGGGGACTAATCTGGAAGTGAACAGAAAAATACTGGCTGGGCTTTTCAGCCAGGGATTTTGGGGGAAAATGCTGTTATTCAGAAACACTGAACGAGCAACGTGTGCCTTATCTTCTGGGACACACAGTGACATAGCTGAGGAAGGATGGAGTTACACTGTCACTCGAGATTTTCATGGGAAAAGGCTCAGTCCTTAAGTGCTTTTCCTACTACAGTTCGTGCAGACTGGGGCCTCCTCTAGATTGCAGAAATGGGCTTTTCCTGTAGTTGCAGTGCAGGGAGCAGCAACAGCTCCCAGTGGAAAACTGCAGCGTTGTGTTTGGATGAGGAGCCAGTTCTGCAAAGCCAGACCCAGCTGGTGCTTCCCAGCCCTTGACTGGAGGGTGAATGGGGCAGGGAGGGGTCCCTGTCCCTGCTGTGCCTGGAAAAGGGGAAGCCTGGAGCTGAACCTTGCTGTGCTGCACTTCCCTAGAGAGCAAGGTGAGGAGAGGCAGTTCCTCTGCTGGGCTTCATGCATGTTTAATGGAGAGTTTAAGCACAGTATAGGCTTGCTCTGTAACCTCGCTGTGCTCCTCCTGTTCTCTGGGAAAGTTTGTTTCTGACCAGGGAAATCGGTAGCTGAGTGTTTTCAACAGTGTCTTCACTCAGCATGATTTCAAGTGGTTTGAAGCCTCTGTGTTCAAAACAAATTCCATGGTTAGTTATTTCTCTTTTTTTCTTTTTTTTTTCCCCCCCCAAGTCTGGTAACACTCAGATTTGGCTGGGTTGAAATATTCAGTTGTGGTGTCTGTTATTTGTATACAAATATTTGGTGGTTTTCTCCTGTAGCTACATTTTTGAAAGTGTTGATTTTTTTTTTTTCCCCCCAGTATTGTGAATATTAGGAAGAAAATCACAAAACTGTGTGGTTGCTGAATACAAAAGGGCTGATCAGAAGAGTCCAGTGTAGCTTTCCCTCCTTGGAGGCAACTGCTTTAAAATTTTTAGTTATATTGTGTAAAATTCATGGTAGCTCTGGTTCTAAGGCCTCTGTCCTTGTCATATTAGATTTAGTTATACATTTATAATAGGTATAGATTAGTTAGGAAGACCCAGAAAGGAGTTTTTCCCCATTTTTCCAGCCTAGAGTATCCTTTTCTAGTGTCAGGAGTGATTAGAAGCTCCTGTAGAGTAGTGACCCTGGTGCAGGTGACTTTCTAAAGTTCCCTGAGCTCCTTTAAAATTTTGGGCTGATATGACCCTGAAGTAAAATATTGAACTATCAAGAATTTATTAGTTAACACTAGAATTTTTCATTTCTTTAATTAGTGGTAATATGCCCCAGCCTGCAGAAAAACATGCTTCATTCACAGAGTGTCTGGGCTGTGTTTAAAATTAACCAGAACAAAATAATGAGCCTTCCAAGCTGCCCTGCAATTGAGAAGTTGTCTCCAACTAAAAATATTCCTCTCTTAGAAATGAGATTGGATTCTTTCATACTTTTACTGCTAGTATCCCCTTAGGTTCATTATGCCTTAGATGCTGAATCTGTAAAATAGGGCTGTTAATATGTACATGAGGCACCAAGAAGTGCTGGAGACTTTCAAAAACTGATAATTCCTTGATTTATTCATAAAGCTGGGAGCATTACTCTTGCAAATTTGATCAGATGCCAGTTCCTTCAGTAGCCACTCGATCCAGGAACCTTTTTATAGCTGTGCTAACATCTCTGAGGACTGTTAGACTTAATTAATGTTTAAGACTCTTGTACAGAACATGTCATGAAAAGGGAAGCTCTTCCATGAGAGCGTGGGGAGCAGGCAGGAGTTTGGCTTCAGGGAATGGGAAGGCAAAGGATGTACCAGTATTTGAGATGAGTAAGTTTGTGTCTATTCTCTCACTTAAAAAATATCCTGTTTGTGGTTTTTAGAGAATTACTGTTATTTGGGGTGTTGAATGACAGGGGTGTGTGCGGAATCCTTCACAAGGACTTTCTTTTAGACACCTAAAGGCAATTCTAGGATATAAAAAACACAGAATGGCCTTGTTAAAAATATGTACCCCTCCCAAAAAATAGTTTTTCTGTGCTGTGAGTATGGCTCAGCCTGATAGAATGGTCCTGAAAATGTTCACTGTCAGGCAAAACACTTTAATTTCTCCCATCTGTGAAACAAAATAATATTTATATTCTCTCAAGGGTCAAGTGTGGGGATCCTTTCTCTGGGAAACTGAACATCTTTTTCTTGTACATAAACTTGTTATGGATCCAAAAATGAGTGTTTTCTCATGAACACTGACATCTCTCTGCACAAATGCCTTCAGAAGTGCAATGCAGAACATCATCGACCAGCAGGAAAACCTTTATCCTGTGGGCATGCCTGGTGCTTCTGGGACTGCTGGAAAGTTGTGTGATATCCTTTATCAGGAGGAGATTGTTTTCATGTGTTGAAAACTTGCTTAAAAAAGGTGTCAGAAAACTCAAACCTCATTTCCCCGCTCTTCTTCCTCAAGACATACTTCCCCAAAGTCTTAAGTTATTAATAGTAATATATTCAGTGGAAAGGAAACTGTAATCACAAGGTAGGAGTGGTTGCATAGATGTTTGTATAAATTTACTTGGGGAAAAAAAAGTTGGATTATTTCAGAAGAATTTGCCTTAATGCTGTGAAGGATGAATTTCTGTGGTGTAGGTCCCTCTATCTCACATTTCTTAGGGGAATTTAAACTGAATATCCATCCCCAGACAGGTGAAATTCACCCTGGGAACCGAGAGGAGAATGAAATGTGGGAAAACAGGAGGTTTACCCAGCTCTGGTGATGGGAAAGGACTTCAGTCTGCCTTAATAGAAAGCAGAACTGGAATAGACTGACGTAAATGACTGATTTGTTTCTGATTTAAGTTCAACAACATTGGCTGCAGGGGAAAACACTGTTGGCAAAGACAGTCCTGGTGATGAAAGCTTTACTGTGGCAGTTAAGTTTAGTTGTCTTTAGACAAAAACCTCATGTTTTATTTAATCTCTATTCAGGCTTTTTGTTTTGTTTTTTTTTCCCCTGGTTAAAAAGGTAACAAGTAGGGCATTGAGACCGTATCAGTGAATGAACTTTAGACGTTTTATTCAGCAAAAAGACCGTTTTGGTTTCTATCAGAAAAGTTTAATGGCTTAATTGCTTGAGATTTAAGATTGTGATACTGAAATTCTACTACAGTCTTCAAAGCCTGCTTTGTCTGCCAATGCTGGCAAGGCAAGGTTTGCAGAAAAAAATAATGAGGAGGATTTTTAAATAGAAAATGGGGAGTTTCTGTCAAAAATCAAGCTCTGTAGTCTAGACTTAAAATTAAGGATGCCCAACCTTGTCTGGTGGTCTCGAGCTCTGTGTTTTAGCCTGCAAATACAGCCTTGCAGAGTTTAAAAATAAGCACTTGTGTAAGGAGGGCCTTGCTCACACAGTCATGTTGGTTTGGAGCTATTTTATCTCAGTATCTGTCCAAATAAACAAAGCTTTAAGTGGTCAAGTGATGCCTAAACATCTCTGTCTGGAAATCATTAGGCTGTGGCTGCTCAAGTGGCTGTGAGAACGTTGTTTAGATCAAATTAGGTGCTTAATGGCAATATTTGTGTTGTTTTAGCCTTGGCCATGATCAGATGTATCTGTTTGCCAGTGGGGTCCAGTCCTGAACCAGCCTGGATGGTGATGGAACTGTGGAATGCTGATCTGTGTATTGTGCTTCTGCTTAATATTTTTACTGTTGTATTATCTCCAGTAACCATCCTTCTTATTCCCAGAACATCCTTGGGATAAGTTTGACAGCTCCAGGGAGCTTTAGAAAGTGTAACTGGAATTTGTCTGTTAGATGAAAACAAATCTTCAGAGAGAAAAAGTGACTTTTCCTTTCCTTGCTGTTGCTCCAGAAACTTGCCACAGAAATAATGAATAAAAACCTCTGGATGTGTTTCCTGTCTTCAGCTGTTATTCACTCTCAACATCGTTGAAATACACTGAAGTACCAAATAGAATTATAATATTTGGCAGGCATAACTTCTTACCAGGAACAATAAAGGTGGCTGAAAACGGTTTGTGCTACTTGTTAACAGCAGGTTTGGGGTCAGATGGTTTGAGCAGGTGTGTTTGAGGGAATGAAAAGAGTGAAGTGGGAAGGGAACGTGCTGGAGTCTGACAGGGGTTTATTGTCAAACTGTGGGTCAGGAGAGAGAACTCCTGAATAAATGCAGAGGGCAATGGGTGTAGTGTGGGTGCCAGGAGCAGTGGGACGGGCTGGGTGAGATGCACTTGTGTGTTATCGAGGGCGGTGCTGAGCTGGATCTTCTGAGGGATGGGGACAGAAGCCCATGGAGCTGCTGCTGGGGTTTTGCCTTGGTACAGGGATCAGACATCCCTGTTGTCTCCTCAGCGAGGTGGAAATGTCTGTCATGCCTGAGCTTTCTGTTCTGAGCCCTGCACTCGGTACTGAAAATCAGGGAATTCATTAATCGAGCGGGTTTTGTTTTTAAAACCAGAATAAAAGTGCAAAATACGTTTATGTCCATCTGTCTGAATTAGTTGCTGTATTTCTAGTTGAAACTTGTTACTTTTGGCTATGTTTATTCTTTACCTCTTCTCAGAGGGGAGAGGAAAGCACAGCCTTGCTGTGTGCTCTTCTTAAATGCACCATTACCCTTCTATCTCTCCCCAGTGTAAACCGGCCTTATCTTCAGTTTACCTTCATGCTGATGTCTTCCTCTGCATCTAATACTTTTATTTCTCTTTCTACTTTATTTCTGCAGCCTTTCTCATGTATCTGATGTGGGATATTGTATTTGAATAATACAGTATTTTTTATCTTTAATTTCTGTTGTACTTTTGGCATGGCTTTCTGTCATTGCATTTATCCCAACACTCCATTTGCCTTTTTTTTTTTTTAGCCTGCCTCTGCACACTGAGCAGATGTTTTCAGAGAGCTGTCTACAGCAACCCCCAGGTCTTTTTCCTGTGTGGTTACAATTAATTTAAAATTCAGCAATGTGTGTGAGTAGCTGAAAATATTACTACTGCTGTCTGTTACCCTATTTTTGTACCAAATGCATTTCATCAGCCACTCTTCTGCTGCTGAGATCTCTCAGGTCTGAGCCACTTGAGGTGGACCTGGCTGTGTGGGATTTTTTAACATGAAGATTTATCATCTCTGCTGCAAATTCATGTATGTACAAGATAACTGACCAAAAGATATTTGTCAGTTTGGTGTTAAATTTGGTATATACAAATCTGTGTCATTACTCTAGCTGCTGTCTCAAAAATAGCAAACTACTAAATGGCTTTTTTGGTGGCGACTCAAGATAGTAAATTATCATTAGAGCAAAAATAAAACTCATCCATATCTTAGAGCAATCTCTTAATGGTTCTTCCTGTGCAGTGTTTGCCAATGAGCCTGGATTTTGTTGCTGCTCAGCCACTGAACACACATTCCAACACGAGCTGTCAGTCCTTTGGCTGCTCTCAGGCAGGGACACTTCTAAATTATGGAGGTGTTTCCTTTCCTTTTGGTGTCCTTTTTGTCACATTTTCTTGTTTTAGTGATGCCTCTGACCTGAATTTCCCTTGCCTGTTCCTCCTGCCCTCAAATACCAGCGTGTCTGTCACTGCCTCAGGAGCCCCTTTGTCCCCCCAGCTCCCCTTCCAGGGGCTGTCTCCTGGTGTTTCTGTGCAGATGTGCAATGATCTGATGTGATTTAGGGATTTGACATAGAAGCTGGGCCAGCAGTTAATAAGTTTGACCCTCCCTGCTATCTTCCTTTTCCTGGACTCTGTAAGTCTTCAGCTGTTTCCATCAGGGAGCCCAGTGACCAGAGAATTCCACTGAAGCTTTGCACGTGATTTCTCTCCCTGTCATACCCGTGGTGTCTTTTGCAGCATCCCTTTTTCATTACTGGGAATTCCAGCAGACAGAAATGCACTCCCTGTTTGTGCTAAAAGGTTTTCTAGTTGGTTGGCAGAGCACTGCTGCTCTGATTATGTTCATATCAGAGCATATTGCACTGCTAAAGTATCTCATAAAATACTCTGTTGCCATGGTGATCTACCTTCCACTTTTCCTAAAAGGACCCACGAGGTCCTGGGAGACAGGCTCTACTTTCTTTGCCTGTGAGAAGATTAGTCACATCCCTTATTTTCCCCTTTTTTCTGTCTTGTTTTCTTGAGGACACCAAGTAGTTTGAGTTTACTGATCATTTTTTTTTTCTCTCCGGGTTTAACATTCTGAAATATTAAATCTCAGTACATTAAAGCTCATGTGAGGGTGTGCCTGTACAGAACAATGCAGTGCTGAAACTTGCATTTGGAATTTCACGTGGAAAAAAAAGAAATCGAAGCACAGATTATTTAAAATGAGAATTAATGTCAGTTAAAACTGTATATTGATTCTTCAGGACAGCAATGCTAATTAAAAAGCAGAGAATGCTGAGGGGATGGATACCTCACATATCCTAGTCCAGCTGACTATTTCTCCTCTTCCCTGCCTCTGTCATCTCCCTTTGGTGGAACCAAAACTGAGTTTGCCTGAAGAAGGCTCTGAACTGACCTAGAGATTTAAGTTCATCTTACATATCTGATTCCATTGCCCAGTGGAGCAACTTCTGTTCCAGTTCTAATTTAAATTTTTATTTTTTTTTTACTTAAAGCTGCTAAAAATCTGCATTAAAGCAACCTTAAGGGCCTTTTCTGACCTGATAAATCCCAAGAAGACAAAACTTAAGGCTGAAATCACAGACCTGGACCTCTCCATTATCCAGCTACTTAAAGAGTCTGAGCACTGGATGTTCTGATGTAATGGGAGTGATGACACTGTGTGATAGCTACAAATTCAGTCTTAGCTCAGAAT